GTGTTACAGCAGCAAAAGCATTACAGCAAGACTGCTCACACAAATATGGACTTTAAAAATGTATAAAAAAAAAAATAGATACATAATAAATACATTTATCAAGAAATAAGCTGATGTAATATTAGAAGTTAGAATAGAAGTTCGATGGCAAATCCTCCCTCTTCAAGTTGGCGATCCAACGACCAACCCGTCCGTGGAGGATCAGGAATCAGAAAGGTGGAATAACTCTTTTTTTTTTCACTTTTCCCCGATGTATTCCAGCATCCAGCTGCCATGCACGTGAGCATTGTCAGTTTCACTATAGCTCTGGTGAATTTCAATGGTGAAGTCCTCTGGAAATCTTCAGCATATTACTTTAGGTATAAATAATGATCCATTGCTTATTCCTTGCTGGGCGGACTTCCTTTAAATCTAACTTATGCTAAATATTCTAGTTTAAAATAAATTTTTAATAGTTTAATATATATAATAAAGTTAACAGGTTACCAGGTTATGATAAGTTGGAAAATAAAGATGGATATGAAGTGATCTGGTGACTCTAAAATAGAAAAGCTGCATTATCGTTGGCATGGCTTCATATTGTCTAGTAGTTCCCATTGATTTTGCTTGTAAAATGGGGAGAATTTGTCTTTTTCTAAACAGTGCTGTAAATCCGTCCCATCTGTCTTTATCCATGCTGGGTCCGATCCTGACGTTTGAAAAAGGACCCGTCGCCATAATCTCTACCTCTCTGCCTGACTGACTACTAGCTCCATCACCTATATCACTGCAGGGGGGAAAATTCCAGGAGCCCCATGGCCATTCATTTTGGTGATGCTGATTGGCCAAATATTTATAAATTTTCCCAAGCAACATTATACAATTGGTTATTTCTCTACACTTCAGAAGTGCTTTGAATGAGCGCCTAAGAAGAGAAATGATATGTTCTGTTGGTGGAAATGTTCTGTTGAATGAGAGTCAATTAGTAGAAGTGTTGTTTTAATAATTCATATTACATGTAGCCACTGTGGAAGCATATTTTTCCTCTGCCTATTTGTGAGATAAAATATTCTGAGTGAGCCTTTCCTCTGCCTAAATAGGGGTGATTGTTTAGAAGTCTTGTACCAGTCTGTATGCTGGAGTTGAGGTTGGGATGACAGAAGCAGCCGCCTCCCTACTCCAGACAAAGGTAAAGGGAAGGGAAGGTCATGAGAGATAATGAGTTCACACAGCCTCCCTCATGCCGTGAAAAAGAGACCTGTTCTGAGTGTTTATCTGGCTAAAATCTATGTCCTTGATGAATTGAAGTTTTTTTTTTCTTGGGAATAACCAAATGTTCAAGTTTGAGAAAGTTCTTTATGCAGGGGGTGGGTTGGTTTTCCTGTGTGGTCTTGTTTTACCTACAATGTGAGGGAAGTATTTTATAAAACATCCTACATGCGAGGACTTACAGGTACATATGGGGACATTCAACTGGTCCCTAAATGGTAAAGTTCTGCTCTTTGAGTTCGGGTTAGGACTAAGGTGTGAGTTCAGTTTAGGTTAGGATTAGGTACATCTTGGTAATAGTTAGGGTAAGGGTAATGGTCTGGGTTAGGCTATATGAAATGAATGCAAGTCAATGAAATGTCCCCATATGTCATGCAAACAAAGCTGTGTGTGTGTAAGTGTGTGCATGTAGGTTTGTGTGTGTGTTGGGAGTTTTGTAAGGTATAAATGTATGTATGGGGCGACAGTGGCGTTGGATGTAGGAGTTTGCCCTGAATTTGAAGGGTTGAGGGTTCAAGCCCCGACTCCGACTTTCGGTGTCGTTGTGTCCTTGGGCAAGACACTTCACCTGCATTGTCTACTGATGGTGGTCAGAGGGCCTGGTGGCGCCAGTGTACGGCAGTGAGCCCCAGGGCAGCTGTGGCTACAATGTAGCTTGCCACCATGAGTGTGTGCGTGAATGGGTGAATGAATGTAGTGTAAAGCGCTTTGGTCAAACTCCTGACTTGAATAAAGGCGCTATATACCATTTACCATTTATGCACTAAGGTTGCCTCAGACAGCACCTCCTTCTGAGGATGTTAAACAAATTTAAACCTTATTTCTTCCAAGAACTGCCTCTGCCTCAGCTCCCTAACATCACACCACATACCATTAAGTAAAACTGACATTGATAATACTTTTAAAATCTTTATACATTATGACGTTTCCCTTCAACATCAAGGGAGGCTGCGTCTGAGCGCCCCCTATGGGCCAGCCGCCACAGTTTTCTGTCAAAAATCTATGGGTGTGACCTGGACTAACTTAACATTCCTGTAGTTGGGTTTGGTTTTAGGCCGTGGGGATCGGTGCTGCCTGACTTCGCTCCCATTTCCCCTCTAACTGCAGAGTTCTCCATCACCTCCCCATGTTGTTGAACTGACAAAAGAACAGGAACTGAAGTAACTACACAGCGCTATTTCATGGAAGGAGAGTCTCCCGATGAGAGTGTGACCTTTGGGAGTGCAAAGATCACATTTGACTTTCTGTTGGCGTCGGCCATCTTCTGTCCTGTGGGACGTTGGAGGAGCAGTTTACCTGCAGTTGAGAGGAAGCGGCTGGATTAGCTCATCAGAAAGGGTGGCTCTGTCTGAGGATTCCCCCTGGACTCAGAGCAGGTGGTGGAAGACAGAAGGACTGTAAGAAAAATAACATCACTGTTGGACAACATGTCCCTCCCCATCCATGAATTATTACAGAGCAGGAGAGCTCCTTCAGAGACAGACTACAGCTGCACCCTGTGGGTGCACAAACTAACACTTCCTCTATAGAATCTCTGAAGAAGATTATGCATGAAATGAAGAATAGAAACTAGAAATGTATGCATAGATTTCTGAATTTCTTAATCTAAGTCAGTTTAGTATTTTGGTTCTTTGCTGTCAGCTCATGCAAACATGTAACATCAGAGCTGTCAATACTTTGTTACTTAAGTAGAAACTTTGTCTATCTGTACTTTACCAGAAGAAACATTTTTAGATAACTTTTTACTTGTACTCCTTACATTTTTATGCAATTATCTCTACTTTCTACTCCTTACGATTAAAAAATAGTCTGATTTAGACTCAAATAGATTCATCTAAGCTAATTTTCATTATGGCCTGTTGATATTTAAAAAATTAAAACCCATAAAAATAATTAGTTTAATCCAGACAATTAATTTATTTGTGTTTGGAGTCGGTGCTGCCCCAACTTGTTGTTCATCACATGCCAAAATAAATAGTTTTTCAAGATGATGAAAAGTTAAATTTGACACTGTTACCATTAGTTTTTATTAATAATTACCTAACCCCCTCAATAGCTGCACCTTAAGCAGAATGTGAAACACCAGCAGAGGGTCTTATTTAAATCGCCTCTCCAAGATCCTTCCTACCTACAACATCTGCAACGACTCTTTAAAAACACCTATAGGTATAACAACACTTGATCTTCCTTTGTGATCAAAAAAGAAGTTTTGCATTTGAATAAGGATTTCATTCTGCACATCCTCAGACCCTCATCTTTGCTGCCCCCAACAGGTCAAATAGGAGTTTACATATAAGCTACTGGTTGATTGCACACGCTTTTCATCTATCAACAAATATTTGCACTGCTTCTAATTCACTTGCTTTGGGTCTTTCAGAAGTTAAAGTTCATAGCTTATGGTTTTTCACTCAGAAAAAAAAATTCAATAATAATACATTTACTGAATGTTTATTGAAATATAGGTTTACATTTTACTAAAAAAGTTATATGAATCAATATTTTGAGGGGTCCAAAATAGCAGGTGGAAATCAGATGAGAACGAGCATTACCAGATTCTAAAGTAATTCTGTGAGAGAGCTGAGAAATGTCGTCCTTGGTGTTGCGTTTCTCAGATTCGACTCAGAAAAGCAGAAAAGTAAAGGAGAACAAGCTTTAGTGGTGTTACTGACTTTAGGAAGCAAAGTGGCTCAGAAGCAACACAGAGGTTGCTTCTAATGACTATTTCCACTGACTTTTGTCAGGAGAGTTTGTTTCTACAATCATTCTGATTCCAGTTTTTCACATTTTTCTGTCAACTAGCTGCTGTTTTTCTGATCTCTTCTTTAAAACTTTAACATTACTCCTTTTTTTAACCTAACATGCATTTTATTATAGATAATGTTACAGTAATTTTCCTTTCTGAGGGTATATTTTTCTATTTTTCTGAAAAGTTTAACTTGACATTTTTTTACATCTTTGCATCTTTTTTATATATATTTTCTGTGTGTGAGTCTTGTGGTTTCTGTCTACTTGTTTCCAGCTACTTTCACAAGCAAATTTCCCCACTGTAGGAAAATAAATGTATTTTCTGCACTGTTAAAAAAATTTCAGTTATTTTGTTATGTGTGATCAAAATGTAAGTAGTTACAGTTCATGTTTAATGAACTGTAATAACCAAAAGTTAATAAATATAATAAATGAATATATGTCACAGCTTTAATATATATACAGTATGTATATATATATATATATATATATATATATATATATATATATATATATATATATATAT